CAGAAAGGTCAAGGGCTTCTGGGAGATCAAGATGCCTAGCAATAGTGTGCTGACTCCAGATACATAAGTTATAGGGAACTTCTAGAACAGCGGTTCTCAACCTGTGGGTTGCGACCCCTTTGGGGGTCGAACGACCCTTTCACAGGGGTTGCCTAAGACCATCCTGCATATCAGATATTTACATTACGATTCATAACAGTAGCAAAATTACAGTTATGAAGCAGCAACGAAAATAATTTTATGGTTGGGGGTCATAACATGAGGAACTGTATTTAAAGGGCCAGAAGGTTGGTAACCACTGTTCTAGAAGGACTAGAATGAGAGGGAGGGGCCTGAATTCCTATTTCCATGCAACTCTGGAGAAGAACAGTATCTTTTTAACCTTGTAGAAAACTCTTGTGATCAAGCCACCCAGGCCTTCAAAATGTGCAAAACTAACCCATAGCCTCAAGCCCAGCTCACCTGAAACTTGTGTCCTAGAAAGAACTAATCCAGACAATGTAGAGCAAGCATGTCAAACTCGCGGCTGGCGGGCTTTGACATGCTTGATGTAGAGAGTCGTGAAATAACTGCTTTTAGCACTAAGGGATTCCACCACATTGATCCTATGTGTGTCCTGTGGGTAGTCCCTCTGTTGCCCACATCCACTGGCAAAGCAGGCCTCTCCTGAGCCTGCTGAATAAACCTGACTTCCCTGTGCCCATGTGCTAGGAGGTCGACTGGGAAGATTGAGTTCAGAGAGAAGTCTAACCCTTGCCTGTCCTCCCTAACCACGGAGAATGACTAGATAGAGCAATTCAACTGCAGGAAACTTCCAAGGCTAAAGCCCAATGACCCAGAAAAAAATCACTTGGAAGGGGGGAAAGTCCAGTGATGGAGACTTTCTTTCTTTCTTTTTTTATATATATATTTTATTGATTTTTTACAGAGAGGAAGGAAGAGGGATAGAGAGTTAGAAACAGCAATGAGAGAGAAACATCAATCAGCTGCCTCCTGTACACTCCCCACTGGGTATGTGCCCGCAACCAAGGTACATGCCCCTGACCGGAATCGAACCTGGGACCCTTGAGTCTGCAGGCCGACGCTCTATCCACTGAGCCAAACCGTTCAGGGCTATGGAGACTTTCTGTCTGCTCCATGGGCCTAACTCAACTCTTCTAAGAGAATTGTGGCCCAAAAGCCACACTTCCGGTCAGAGGAATGAAGGCTAGACAAGTTGTGTCTTCCCAAAATCCCACAGTCTTCTCTGGACAGGTCCCTTATATAACCACTCAGTCAGAAGTACCTTTACAAAGCCTATCAGAGGTCTACTCAATGGCTAGATGCTCTGCTTCTCCCAGAACTCAAGGGGTCACCAGAGCCATCAAGGGCGATTTCCTAAAGCCCAACCAATGTACTGCCTGCTCACAAATCAATCCAGCAGTTGGGAAGTGAGAACGCAAGTGAGGGAAATCTGACTTCCTGCAGCCTTCAGCTCTAGGTCCGCTACCCAAGCTTCAGAAGGCCTCACAGAGTCTGTATCTGAGCCCCGCAGCCCAAATGTGATTCACCCCCAATGTTGCTTCCAGTCCAGTGTCTTGTTTGGCACTGGGTTCATGGACCTCAGGCCTGGATTCTACTTCCTCCTTCTTTGAATTCCACCTTATCACCGCCATTCTTATGGAGTCATCCTCCTCTGTGGGAGGAGGTCTAATAATGTGCTGGAGGCTCAGACATCCAACCTCACCTCCTGGGCTTCCTTCCTCCACTAACACGGCTGGCCAACCCACCACAGCTGGAACCTGGTCACTGAGAGAGAGAAGGGCGGGGGCTGAGCCATCCAGCCTGGACCTGCCGCATCCCATCAGGCCAGATCTCCCTAGGCTGGTCGGGGGTGAAGTCCCACGTGCAACCCGCTCCAACTCCAGGTTACTTGACTCTCCCCTCCACGCGGGAGAACTTACGGATGAGTTCCAGAGTTGGGAGGGGGGTTAGGCTTCGTGCACCCCCAGCGGGCTGTAGACAAGCATCCTACATCCCAGCCAGGCTACGGTCGGGAACAGAGTAAGAGTCCCAAGCCCGGGCTGCAGCAGACGGGCGCCCTTACCCAAAGCTGACTCCGGAGTGGGCTGGAGAACGAACGCTTGCCCATCCCCGGATCCTTCGCAGGTGGGTAGCAGGACGTGGGGCTGGGGTCGACCCACTGGCCAGCCTGCAGAACTTGCGGGACTCGGGCAGGCCGGGTTAGGCCAGACGGGGCGGGGCCCGGAGAGCCCCATCTGAATGGTCTGGACAAGAGAAAAAGACCCATCCTAGCGCAGTCCGGTGCTCCCGCCATGTGCACGGCACCGCCTGGAGAGAAGCCTGGCTGTCTCTGTGTTTCCCCCAGCCGCCGCCTCAGAGGACCGGCGGGAGGCGGAGTCGCGCGCGACACATGGCCCCGGCCCCGCGCGGCTTCGGGCAGCCAGGAGGGAGGAGGGGAGGGGCCGCCCGGGGACTCGCAGCGGAGGCTCCAGGCGACCCGGAGAGCGGCTCTTGCGACCTAGCCCCCGCCCCGGCACGCTAACCCCGACACTCACCCGAGGGGCTGGCACGATGGCGGCAGCGGCGGCGGCAACCCAGCGCGGTCGGCGACCGACTGTCCCTTCCCCCCTACCTTCCCTCGCCACCCCCGCTGCACTCTGGGAAACGCAGTCCTCCCCGCGCTCCTTTTGGGCATAGGTACTCCCAGAGAAAACTACAGTTCCCGGCGTGCTATGCGCCGAGGCCCAGACACGGACCGCAGCGCGGGAGGTGAGGCTAAGCCAGGGAGGGCGGCTGCCGGGGCAAGCCCCTGAGAATTGTGGTCTAGCGGAAGCCTCTGGAACACCCGAAGTTGGCGCCAGGCAAGGGTCAGGGCTTGTTGTCACCAGGTCCCAGCTGGTCCGACCCCACCCAGGCTGCGCCGCTGTCTAGGGTTGGCCCCGCCTCCGTGGGATCCCAGCCTGGCCCAGCCGTCCCTCCCTGGGCCCCGCGCTGTTTCCGCTCGGGAACCCCCCTCCTCTTTGGTGCTAGAAGAGGTGCTCAAGACCAGCCCCAGGCAGAATCCATAACTTCTGCGGGCCTACATTCGTGCGCCCTGCCCACCACTATTCGGGCCCGAAGCTGCTTTCGAGCAGGCAAGACTTTCCCCTCGGGCTGTAGACTCAAATGTTCCTCAAGTGGGGCTCAGCTGCAGACAAGATTTCTCTTAGTCTTGTACAACTAAAGTCTCCAAAACATTTTTTTTGGTACAGGCAGACAACTAAGTTTCATTTTTATTAATGAGAAAAGAGAAGTAACTGGCTCACCCCAAATTTCCCCGTGACTTAAATGACCAGGTTGCCCTTTCCTTTCAACGCCTATTTTAGTTGTTTCCGGGGCAACGCAAACATTGAAGGCCTGCCTCTGGGTCAGGCGGGTTGGCGGAAATGCCCTACAGCGAACCAGGGCGGGAGGGGAGGAGGCATAGGTAAGGGAAATAGCTACAAGGCTTCTCCTGGCAGCTCCATGCCTTCCCTCCAGGCCAGAGATCTCCCAGTAATCCTGTTCTTCCAGAAGAGTTTTGAACCTTCACCGACTGACTGCACCCCACCCTCCCAGTGATAGCTGGTAAGACTAGGCCAAGCTTATTAAATTCCAGGTGTGTACTACTTTGCCTCATGCTTCTTATTACTCAGCCAGTGAGAACTCTACATTGTCCTGCTTGTGGTGCATCTGGGACCTCCCTTGCTCTGAGCTGTCCTCCCAAGAAGCAAAAATACTGGGTGGGTTGTGTATACATAACCTCCTGAGTCCAAAGTCCTGGCCCTCACACTTTCCTGGGAGTGCTGCTGAGAGGTTCACATGAGCCAAAGCAGAAACAGTGTTCAGTCCCTTCAACCAAATGGAGCTAGAGGATCCACTACAGAGCATGGTCTGAGCCTGGGAAATCCCTCACTCCTAGTGAAAGAGGGGGGACATGTGAGAGACTGGCCAATAGCTGAAGGCAAAGGGTTTCGGTTCCAGCTGCCTCGAAGGGCACTGCTGTGCTTCCACTACCTTGTTACTAGCCAAAAACCTAGAAAGGCAGAGATCCGGTCTCTTCCCCAACCAGGCACCCACACAACCTATGCCCCACTCGGCCTCCCCACCAAAAACTTGTTTCTCAAGTCAGTGCCAAAGAGAAGAGCAGAGACTGAGGAACATTTTAGTCTTTTCAGTTCGCAGCCAAAGGGAAAGTCTCCAGGCAAGTGGCTTTTTCCATAAGTAACAGAGAAGAGAATGACGTTTTATGGAGCTCAAGAACTGTCCACTTGTGCCCAACACCCTTAGTAAACAGTGCTAGCTTTAAAGGCATTTGCTTTTCCCCACTGGATTTGAGCAAAATTACTTGGAGCTATAGATACAAATGTTATCTCACCCCTACAATACCCAATCTGAAGAAAGATGGAAACAGCCATGAAAATGAGTCAAGGAGTCACAAATCCCAACTCCTACTACTTAAAGCTTGTATGGGTAATTCATACTGAGAGCACCAAGGCGAAAGGTATTTGTACAAGAGTCCTTGTGCCCTGTGCAGGCGCCACGGCTGGTTCCGACTGTGGTCTGCACTGATTTGAGTAATTGAATGCCTATGTGTATTAGACACTGTACTAGGCCTAAGGGCTATAACAGTGGGCAAAATTCAACCCTAGCTGATAACCTGGAAATTCAAAACCCTCGGAGAAGTAGACTGTCACAATTCAGCTTAGTTCTCAGTTGCTCCTTCTCCCTGTTAAAAGAACACAGGCTGCTCACCCATGGACAGTCTGGGACCATTTTGTGCAAGTTTCCAAACCTGGAGCTGAGCCAGGAAGTCTGTGAGGACCTTAAGGGGCTGGGGTCCATGTGCTTAGGACTCCTTTATGGAGAGACCATCTCTGCTCCCAGGGTCAGCCTGGTCCTTGAGACCAGGCCTCAGCCTATTTCCCCCATGTTTCAGGGCCACTTAGCTGAATCCTTATAAAAATAAAAGGGCGAAATCCAAATAAAAACCTTACCTTCTGTTTAATTCATTTTGCCAAACAAACACAGTGAAAACTTTAGTCTGACTAAATGTACAGAAAATAGAATTTGTAACCAGTAGCAAACATAACAAGATAAACCTAAGTCCCTGGCAAGCTGGGTCTCCATCAGCATGTCACCTAGATCCCCTTGTAGATGGCCTCCTAGAGAGGGAGGTCCTAGGAGGCAGAGGCACAGATCTGCCAGCTCCCATCAGAATCACAGGCTGCACCTGGGAAAGAAAAGTATGAAAAGGAGAACTGATGTCACTTGGCTCCCTTATCACTACACACAGAAGAGTTGTCTCTGATTGCTGGCAAACCACAAGGTGTTGTCTTCCCAAACCCATAGTCCTTGGGCATCCCACCTGCATCCCTACGGGGTAAGTTTCAAGTTCAGTGGTTCCTAGGAACCTCTGCTTAACCAGAACCCACAACATGAACTGGAGATGGGGATGTGGGGGAGAGAGAATCATTAATTGCTGGTATCACCAGAGCAGAGTCCAAGGTCCCAGACTTCAAGAGGAAACAAGAGGGTGTCAGGTCACCAGCAACAGTCCAGCTGCCCTAAGTCTCAGTACAGTCAACCAGTGTCCCAGGAGTATAGGCGAGTTCGCAATGGCGGCCAGCAGGTCTCCTGGGCTGGCAGGGCCTGGGGAGTCCCAGGGGGACCCGTTCACATTCCATGCTTCTTGCGGATGACAGACATGGCCAGCAGCCGATCCTTCTCTCGGAGCTCTTCGCGCAGCTTGGCCTCGGTGAGACGCAGGTGGCGGATGCTGCCCTTCATCTCCTTCATCTTCACCTCCATCAGCGCCAGGATGTCCCGCTGCTCGTTCAGCTTGCGCAGGAGCTCCTCCTCCGTGGTGCCTGACGACAACGAGTACGAGTGGTCGGAGCCAGTATCAGGGAAGCCCTCTTCCCCTACTACCACCAACTGGGGGCCCATCGGACACTCGGCAGCCTCCAGCCCGGCGGTGGCAGCCTCTAGCTCCGACGCGGCAGCTGCGGCGGCTGCGCCCTCTGCGGCCGCGAACTCCACTTGCACCGTCAGATCGATGGGTTTCACATCATCTCCGGTGGGAGCAGTGGGTGCCTGCTGCACGGATCCAGGAGCCTGGCTGCTGTCCACAGCCGCCTGAAGAGTGAGGAGCACAGCCGCAGAGGCAGACACCAGGTTCGGCTGCAGCTGGGCGGTCTGGGCAGTCGAGGCTGACGGCGGCGGCGGATGCTGCAGTTGCTGCTGCTGCTGTTGTTGCTGCTGCTGCTGCCTGCGGCGGGCGGCTGCGGCCCCGGCGGGTCTGCGTGCTACTTTGCGCTCGTTAACGCCGCGCAGAGGGAAGATGGTGGGGACGCGCACCGTGTAGGTCTTGCGGCCACCCTGGAAGTGGACGCTGCAGAGACGGTGACCCGTGGTGGGCTGGAAGGTGGAGAAGCATCCACTGACGCCGGCACGAGACACGTTCTTGAGCCAGAGGCGCCGCAGCTCAGCGTCCTTGGGAAACGTGTAGAAATGGAGAGCCTTGTCCCGATGCGAGTTGTTGTAGCAGCCCGGCACGCAACACGTAAAGCCTGGCATGGCTGCGCCGCGCGGCCCGGCCCACCGGCCTCCTGAACTCTTCGACGGCCCGGTTGTCTGCCGCCGCCCGCCCCTCGACGGGCGGCGCCGCGCGAGACCTTGGGTGGCTTACCACTACTGTCGTCCGGCGCGGCCGGCTGGCCCGGCACCCCGTGCCCAGAATACGCTTCCCGTCGGCCCGCGCCGCGCAGCCCGCCAGGCCGCCCGCCTGCGCTCGGGAGTCGGCCCCGGGGACGCCGCGAAGGACCGCCTGAGAAGGAGGACTACGCCCCCCACAATGCACCGCGCCAGAAACCTCTTACTTCCGGGGCGGGGTGTGCTTATTCCGGCCGCTTTTCAGGGAACCGACACGGCCCACGTAGAGGACATTCTTTCCAGAGCTGGCTCAATTAGAGAGGACTAAAGAGGTGTATTCGGTTGGAACGCTGTCGCCTGGATCTCTCTTTTAAAAAACACGAAACCCTCATGGGGGGTTGGACGGCGCGCGCTCCTCCGATGCGCAAGCGCTTTGGGCATATACCCACGGAAACTACAAGTTCCACAATGCCTTGCTTGAACTCGGCGGCTGCGGCTTGGAGCGCCGCCCACAGGAGAGGTCGGGTTACTGCGGACCAGGATTTGGGTAAGGTGGTGCTGCTTGCCGAAGGCGAAGGCGGCGACGTTCCTGCAGGAGTAGGTTAGCGGGACCTGGGTCGAGACACCCCTTGAGACCTTAGGGTCCTTTTTCTCTTCGTTGGGGCTCTCCCCCGACCCAGCCGCTGCTTGCGTTGACTCACTTATTGACCGAAACAGTGACCAGTAGGTGTCTTTTGTGTGCCAGTCACAGTGCCGGGATTTGGGAACCTGGCAAGAACCAGACAGGCTGGGGTTGAGGGCCCGACTTTTGGATAACAGAAGTGAATGCACCCGAATGAATGTCTAATCACAGAAATAAACCATCCACAGGAATTAACTGGACAGAGAAAAAAATGGGAAGTGGAGGCCCAGGAATTAAAAAACGAGGAAAAGTTTGGGTGGGAAGGAGTAGCTAGTTCTTGCCCCGGGAACTAGTCCGTAAGGCAGGAAAGAGCTAGGCTTTCTCTCTCTCTCTCTCTCTCTCTCTCTCTCTCTCTCTCTCTCTCTGTATTGATTTCAGAGAGGAAGGGAGAGGGAGACATCAACAATGAGAGAGAATCATTGATTGGCTGCCTCGCGCATGCCCTCCCCCCTCCCCCACTGGGGACTGACTGAGCCCACCACCTTGGCATGTGCCGTTGACCAGAACCGAACCTGGGACCCTGCAGTCTGCAGGCCAACGCTCTATCCACTGAGCAAAACCAGCTACAGCTAGGCTCCGCTTTTAAAGCGCTTGGAAGGTGGTGGCTGGAGTAGCAGAAGCCGCTTAAAGATACCAAATTGGGCCATATAAAGATTTGGGATTTTATTCTGCAAGCGACTGAGAACTGTTGAAGGGTGTTAAAGAAAAGGATGGATAGGATTTGCATTGTAACAAGAAACTTCCCTCCTCCCTCGACTTCTATGGGGAAATATTCTAAAGGGCAAGAGAAGCTGTAGAAAACCAGGAAGGAGGCCAGGCAGTCGCCCAGGGGAATTACCTGCAAGCTAGTTCTCCTTTGCTGAGTTCCCCCTTTGTCCTATTTCTTGCTTCTTCACCTTTATCCTGACTCTTCCTCCTCTTTTTTTTCTCTCCCTGATTACAGACCACCGGTATGAAATTGAAGCCTAGTATATATTATTTGTAATCATTTGCTATAAAAACAAAATAGATTGGGCACTTAGAAGCTTGCCAAAGAAAACAATAACATCCCAAGTTAACGTTATTACTACTGCTGTTATCATTATTATTATTTTGTTGTTCTTTATCATAAAAGGGACCCTCACTTAAAATGTAGGAAAATACAGGACAATGTGGGGAGAAAGGGTTTCACAGACCCATTACAGGAGACTGTCCCATCCCTCCTGGCCTATGCAGCTGATGGCCACAGTTTGAATCCTTCAAATTCAGAAATACATTCTCTGGAATGTGTAGCCCATAGTGAAAGATGTACATTCATCTGGGTGAATCATTTATACAATGGTAACAAATGGTCACACTCTGTTACGATTAAATGTTTATGTAATATGTGCAGTAGAGATAAAATTCAACAAAAGCTCATTATATATGTCATATATTTTCATTGTCATACAGTTATTGATAGGTTTCTACTTCTATCTGTCTCAATACCTACCTTGCTCAAAAACTATTAGTGAGAGGACAAATTAATATAATTTCCTTTTGCACAGAACATTGAATATTATGCTCAATAGAACTTTACCTTCTAGCCCTAGCTGATTTGGCTCAGTGGCTAGCGCGGCGCCTGAGAACTGAAGGGTCCCAGGCTCAATTCTAGTCAAGGGCATGTATCTAGGTTGCAGGCTCGATCCCCAGCAGTGAGTTTCTCCCCCTCCCTTCCACTCTCTCTAAAAATCAATGGAAAAATATCCTTAGGTGAGGATTAACAAAACAAAAAAGCCTCTACCTTCTAGTCAATAAAATCACTTCTAATCTACACTTAATCCTGTATACTTTCAAAACATATCTGAATGCACGGCTTTCTCCCCTCCCTACTGTCCTTTATCTTGTCACCTCACCCTTTATCTTTTCACTTCTGGAGAAAGGCAAGATCCTGACACGTGTCTCCCTATTTTCAATCGTGCCTCCCCTGCATTGTTCTTCATGTTCTGCCAAAGAAAATATGATTATGTAATTCCTCTGCTTAAATCCCTCCAGTGGCCGACTGCATTTAGAATAATGTCCAGACTCCTTTCAGAGCCTGTGAGACCTCACATGGTCCAGCCTTTGCCAATCTCTGACTCCTTCCCTCACTTCATGAGCCCAGTGTTTTTTTAAACAAGTAGTAAATATAAAGTTGGATCTGTTAACGTAAAAAAAAACATTCAAACCAGTAAAGAATTTTTGTGCGTTTATTTGAGCCAAACTGTGGACAATTGCCGGGAAGCAATATCTCAACGGATTGGGATAGTGCTCCAGAGAATGGCGGTTTCTCATCTATTTTTATACATTGCAATCAAAGGAAGGGATGTAGGTGAGTCACATGAAATCCATTGATGATAGATTAGAGAGGCAGAAGAAAGCAAAGTCGGGGGTGGGGGGTGGGGGGAGGTGGAAACCCTGGGATTGGATAAAAAGTAAAATGATAGACACATATTTAGGTGGGTGCAGGAACAATTAACATAACAATGAAGGAATTTGATTTGTGGTATCTGTCCTGACCCCAGGCACATTAGGTTGTGCCCCAAGGCGTCTGGAAAAAGGGAAGTTACAAGTTACCCAGACATTTCAAAGATATGTTATTATAGATGCAAAAAGACAGCCCTGGCCAGTTTCGCTCAGTGGATAGAGCGTCAGCCTGTGGACCGAAAGGTCCCAGGTTCAATTCTGATCAAGGCCACATGCCCAGATTGCGGGCTCGATTCTCAGTGATGGGTGTGCAGGAGGCAGCCGATCAGTGATTCTCTCATCATTGATGTTTCTATCTCTCTCTTCCTCTCCCTCTCTGAAATCAATAAAAATATATTTTTTAAAAAAGACAGATAAGCTCAATTAAGGTAAAGGTTGACCTTGTCAGTGAAGATAGGGGCCTAGGATGTAACTACCCACCATAACTGCTTTTAATTAAAGTTTAATTTCAGACCATCCTTTGTGATTACTTTAGGTCTCTGAGTTTGCAAGACCACTATGCAGGCCTTCCCTGAGCTTATCAGGTTAGCATGTGGCCCCTTTCGTCTACAGATCAATTATGTAAATACATAGAATAGTACCGTACAAAAGTAAGTCATGTCTCAAACTGTTTTGAAAAGAGTTTTGTGGCCTGGCTGGCCTGGCTCGGGGGTTGAGCGTCGACCTATGAACCAGGAGATTATAGTTCGATTCCTGGTCCCTGGGTTGTGGGCTCTAACCCCAATGTGGGGCATGCAGGAGGCAGCCGATCAATGATTCTCTTCATTGAGGTTTCTATCTCTCTCTTCCTCTCTCTTTCTCTCAAATAAAAATATATTTTTTTAAAAAGAAAAGAGTTTTGTGTTTTTCCATATTATCCAGTTCAAGGCTTTTTTAAAAAATCTATTTTTATTGATTTCAGAGAGGAAGAGAGAGACAGAAACATCAACGATGAATCATTGATTGGCTGCCTCCTGCACGCCCCCTACTGGGGATCAAGTCCACAACATGGGCATGTGCCCTTGATCGGAATAGAACTCAGGACCTTCAGTCCACAGGCCTATGCTGTATCCACTGAGTCAAACCAGCCAGGGCTCTTTGCTTTATTTATTTTTTAAAATACATTTTTATTGATTTCAGAGAGGAAGGGAGGGGGATAGAGAGATAGAAACATCAATGATGAGAGAGAATCATTGAATGGCTGCCTCCTGCACGCCCCTTACTGGGGGATCGAGCCTGCAACTCAGGCATGTGCCCTTGGCCAGAATCGAACCCGGGACCCTTCAGTCCACAGCCGATGCTCTGTTCACTTAGCCAAACCGGCTAGGGCTCTGTGCTTTATTTTATTTTATTCTTTGACGTGAACATATCAAGATTTTATTGTCATATAATAAAACAAAATACGAAGCTTAGAATTGGAGCACTTGACCCTTTCTCTTCTTACTCTTCTTATCTCCTCCCAGTTCAAAATGCTTGCATCTCTTAATAGCCAGTATTCTCTTAGATCTGCATTTAGGCTCAACACACTCAAGCCTCGGCACAATCTTCTTTGTAGTTTTAGCCTTTTTTCGGAAAATGGGTTTAGTCTGCCCACCAATAGCCACTTTGCTTCCTGTCATAACGCTGCTTTCCCTGCACATACAGAGGATCCTTGCCCTTCTTGTACTGTGTTATTTTGTGGGGTTGATGCTTGCCACACTTCTGACAGAAAGTTTGGCGGGTTTTCGGAACGTTCACCATGTTTGTGAGAGCGCTATCAGCAGGGAAAAGCTCTTTGCTTTATTTTTTAACACAAGCACAAATATGCCCATGCCTGTCCAAGTAACTGATACTATACACCTGATCTAGGAGCAAAAAAACAGCATGGGAGACTCAGAACTCAAGTTCTATATCAGTTCCCATGAAAAGTCAAGAAAGGGGAGTGGGCTGTCAATCAGTGGAAAATATGATAATAGAATCTCCAGCATTGACAGAACTATTGAGAGCTGGAGTTCATCTCAAAATTGCACATGTTTGGAGATCAAAGCTTCTCTGATGG